TCCTAAGTATGTGTTTGGGCATTTTCCTGTTTTTTATTCTTCTCAGAAAGACCAAAAAAGAAAGGTGAACAAAAAATAGAGGTTGTCTCTTCTGTTTAAAAAATATCTAGCTATTTTAAGGGAGCTCTGGTGGCCTAACGGCAAGAAGCTGCACTGCAATCCCAGAGGTACATGGTTCAAATCCACCAGATTCTTTGCTGGAGACGGAGGGGCAATCTCCTCCTGTACCAGTCAGATCTGATTTGACGGTACAAACACACAAAATAATGAAATAAAAAAGAAATAAAAACATCTAGCTGTTTTAATAATTAGAGACAAAGGTTTATTATGTATCCTGAGCTCTGTTGCTCTTGTTATTGGGAGACCTTGAGTCATTTACAATGTATAGTGACAGAGTAGAACAGTCCCATAGAGTTTTCTAGGCTGTATTCTCTATGGATAGGGAGCTCTGGTGGCTTACTGGTAAGGAATTATGCTGCCAACAAAGAAGTATGAGGTTCGAACCCACCAGCTGCTCCATGGGAGAAAGATGGATAGTCTCCTCTTGAGTGAAAACCTGGTGGAGGGCCAGCCATGAGTTGATGGTACACAACAACAACACAATCTTTACTGAAGGATCTCTGGTTAATCTTGTCTGCTAAGCAAGAGGTCAGTGGTTTAAACTCACTAGCGGCCCCAAAGGGGAAGGGAGGTATCTGGTGATCTGCTCCATAAAAATGAAAACTTCACCACTACTGAGAGAATTCTGACTCCTAGCGGCCTTGTAGGACAGAGTAGAACTTCCCACGGTTTCAAAAGTTGTAGATCTCTACAGGAACAGACTATTTCATCTTTCTCCCAAGGAACGACTGGTGGTTCAAATCACAGACCTTGTGGTTACTAGGTGAATTCTACCAGAACTCCATACAGCTTCAGAAAGCCTATGGGATAGTTCTACTTTGTCTTATTAAAAAGCCAGACCAAACCCATTGCCATCAAGTTAGTTCCACCAATGGCAGTCCTCTGTCTGATTTCCAAAACTGTCAATCTGTGGAGGAGACTGCCCATCCTTCTTCTGCAGAGCAGCTGGTGGACTTACCAGATCTAAAGATTTGGTTAGCAGCCCTACTACATGTAGTGCACTGCATCACCAAAGCTCTTTTCTGTCCTATCAGTCACTATAAGTCAGAACAGACTTGACAGCACACTGCCACAGTCTCTATAAAGTAGATCACCCAAGTCCTACTGTCCACCAGGTGGCTTTGAACAACCAACCTTCAGTTAGCAGCTGAGTGCTTACCTGTGGCTCCTTTGTTGTTGTTGATTGCCGTCAAGACAAGCATGACTCATAGTGACCTATGAACAAAAGGCCTGAGGCCTTTCTAGAACTATTGTAGTTTCTCAAAGTTCATAGAGATTCCAGAAGCATGTGGTTTAGGAAGTGAATGCCACTGCTGCTTCCAAGTGGTGCCTTTGGATGGCTCATTTCCCCCAACACTATGAATATGTTGTATTTCTTTCATCCTCGTGGCTACTTAGTTACCATTACCTTTTTCAGTTAAGGAAATTGAAGCCCAGAGGTGTGAAATAATTTTCTCAAGGGCTTACCAGAGCTAGGATTTAAGTTCAAGTTACTTCGTTTCATTTATCTAAATCAGAAAATTCAGATAATTTCAGTAATATCTACTTTAGAGAGGAACATCATGCTGGGTAGAGTAGAGGGACAGCGCAGGAGGGGAAGACCCTCTATGAGGTGGATTGATTCAGTGACTGGGGTAATCGGGATGGGTGTGTCAGAGGCAATGAGATTGGCACAGGATAGAGCACGGTTTAGGGCTGTTGTATATAGGGTCGCTATGGGTCGCAAACAACTCGACGGCACATAACAACAACAACAACATCCACTTTATCAAAATATCTAAGTTTTTTTAAAGATACATTGTTGTTGTTGTTGTTATGTGCCATCGAGTCATTTGCGACTCATAGCGACCCTATGTACAACAGCCCTAAACCCTGCTCTATCCTGTGCCAATCGCATTGCCTCTGACACACCCAACCCTAGTACCCCAGTCACTGAATCAATCCACATCATAGAGGTTCTTCCCCTCCTGTGCTGTCCCTCTACTCTACCCAGCATGATGTCCCTCTCTAAAGACAGTTCAAATCTGCCAGCTGCTCCTCCAGAAAAAGATGGACAATCTCCTCCCATGTGATTTACAGCCTTTGCAAACCCACTGGAGGGTCAGCTATGGTTCAGAAGGAGTTCTAGTGGCGTAGTGCATGAAGTGTTAATTCTGCTAACTGAAAGGAGGTCAGAAGCAGTTCGAGGGAGATAGATGGGCAGCTTCTTCCTCTGAAGAGTTACAGCCTTGCATTCCATGAATGGTCACTATGAGTCTGAAATAAACCTGAATGCAATGGGTGCATTTAAAAGGCTTCTGAGTAGTGAGGAAAAGAGCTATCACCAAGGAAATCAAGAAAGAAAAAAATAAGAGCTATCCAACTGTCCTATCAGTCACTATAAGTCAGAACAGACTTGACAGCACACTGCAACAGAATTCACCTAGAAACCACAAGGTCTGTGGTTTATGAGAGTAAGCCAACCCCTCAGACCTTATTAAGGATCGGATTCTGTCCCTCCAAAGCATGTGCTCGGGAGCTCTGAAGGCCTAGTGGTAAGGAGTTGTGTTGGCAACTGGTTTGTATCTGCCAGTTGCTCTGTGGGAGAAATATGGGCAATTTCCTCCCCCGCAATTAACTGCCTCTGAAAACCAGCTGGAGGGTCAGCTATGGGGCCACTTCTGACTTGATGGCATGCAATAAAAACAAAATAACAAAACATGTGCTTGTATCCTAATCCCTAAACATGGGGAAGGGACCCTGTGTGGGACTAGGAAAGTCTTTGTTAAGTTAATGAGGCCTCATTAGTGTAGTGGTTGTCTTAGATCTAATAATTTATAAGTTATAAAAGGAGGTCATATGCAGAATATGAAAGGAGAGAAGATAGATGACTTGTAGAGATTGCCAAGAAATAGAAGAATGCTGGAATAGACAGAGATGAGGACCCAGAGCCAAGAGAGAAAAAATTAGACTCTTCCCCTAAAGCAGTGTGTTGTTGAGTGGATTCCAACTTACAGTGAGTCTATATGACAGATCAGAATGGCCCCATACCATATAAGTTCTGCTAGCCTCCTAAATGGTGAGAAAGTAAGTTTCTGTTTTAAAAAGCCACCCACTTGTGATATTTCTGTGTTAGACCAGGAAACTAAGACCCATATAATGTCACTGATGTAACAAACTTGATGATTTGGCTTCTTTTCTGACAATCATAATTTAACATGGATGGTGCATTAGAAGGTTATGAGGACATGCTACTCGACAGCAAGAGAGGAGAAAAGAAGCACACTTTATAAAAGTAGAAAATTTACACATTAGTTGTTTAATGCAGAAGAAATTACCCAGTGTCTTTCAAACTTGAATGCACATTAAGAGTATCTGGGAAGTTTTTCTAGAATTGCAATACTTAGGCTCCACCCACGACTTAAATCAGGTTTTCTGGGAATCGAGTCTAGATATGAATAGTTTTAAAAAGAAGTGATTCTAACATGGAGGAGGGGTTAAGTGCCACTGAAATAGGGCTGCAGACTTTGGTTCCAGCAGGACCACTGCAGAGGTTACATAGCAAAATCAGTTGTTAAGGGAACAGCTTGGACTCATAAATAAAACATCGAACTGCATCTGGAAAGCAAAAGCAAAAGCCAAAGATGAGGAAATTGAGGAATTCTACCAGTCTGAAACAGAACGAATATGCAGTCAAGGTGCTTAATAATGATTAGTGACTGGAATGCAAAAGTTGGAAACAAAGTAGAAAAGAGGTAGTTGAAAATTATGGCCTTGGGGTGAGAAATGAGGCTGGAGGTCGAAGAATTGAATTTTGTACATTCAATAATTTACTCATAGCAAATGCTTTTTTAAAGAAACACAGATGGTTACTATACACATAGACCTCACCTGATGGACTACACAGGAATCAGATAGACTACATTTGTGGAAAGAATCACTGGAGAAGTTCAACAACAAGTAGACAAAGCCAGGCCAGATGCTGTCTACATAACAGACCACCAGTTATACATGTACAAGTTCAAACTGAAGTTGAAGAAGACAAAAACAAGTCCACAAGAGCCAAAAATACAACCTTGAGTCTATCCCACCTGAATTTAAAAATTATCTCAAAAACAGGCATTTGAGACATTGGACACTAGGAATCAAAGATCAGAATAATTGTGAGATAACATCAAAGATATCATCCATGAAGAGAGCAAAAGGCCGTTACATAGACAGAGGACAAAGAAAATATCAAAGTGGATGTCAGAAGAGACTTTAATAATTGCATTGAGAAGCTAAAACAAAGGAATAGATGCTGACATAAAAGAGCTGAACAGAACATTTCAAAGGACAGCTTGAAGAGACAAGGCAAAGTATAGTAATGAATGTGCAAAGAGGTGAAGTTAAAAAAGAAACACTGTCTTGGCATTTCTCAAACGGAAAGAACTGGAAAACAAATTCAAGCCCCAAATTATTGAGAAATGCTGTGGACACAGAATCACCATATCAGAAAGAATTGGTCAGCACTGAAAAATTTCAGGAAGCAGCATATGATAAAGAGTCAATAGTGATGAAGGAAGAAGTTCAAGTTGCACTGAAGGCATTGGAAAAAAAAGTCTCCAGGCTGGCATACCAAATAACATGTTTCAAATAACAGATGCAGCCCTGGGTATGCTCACCAGTTTGTGCCAGGAGATTTGGAAGACAGCTACCTGGCCCACTAATTATAAGAGTTCCATATTTGTTCTCATTACCAAGAAATCAACAGAACGTGGCAATTATCTCACAATATCATTAATATCAGGGACCTCTGGTGGCCTAGTGTTCATCAGCTGCATTGTGATCCCAATGACACACGATTCAAACCCACCAGCTGCTCTGCAGGAGAAGGATGGGCATTCATCTCCTATGCAATTTACTGCCTCTGAAAACCTGCCAGAAGGTTAGCTATGGATCAGTTCTGACTTGATGGCACAACAAAACAACAACATTGATATCATATGCAGGCAAAATACTGCTGAAGATCATCCAAAACCAGCTAGAATGGTACATGGGCAGAGAACTACCTGAAGTTCAGGCTGGATTTGCATGAGGGTGTGGTACTATGGATTTCATTGCTGACATCAGATGGATCTTGACTGAAAGTAGAATATGCCAAAAGAATGTCTATTTGTGCTTTATTGACTATGCAAAGCCATTTGACTGTGTGGTTCATAACAAGTTATGGCTAACACTGAGAAGAATGGAAATCTCAGAACACTTAATTATGCTTATACCATATCTATACCTAAACCAAAAAGCAATTGTTCTAACAGAGCAAGGAAACACTGTGTGTTTTGAAATCAGTAAAGATGTGCATCAGGGCTGTCTCCTTTCTCCATACTTACTCAGTCTGTATGTTGAGCAAATCATTAGAGAAGGTAGGACTTTATGAAGGAGAGTGTGTGGCATCAAGATTGGAAGAAGACTCATCAACAACCTGTTGATGCAGATGAAATAACCTTCCTTGGTGAAAGCAAGAAGGACTTGATGTGCTTGATGCAGAGTCAAGGACTGCAGCCTTCAATATGGATTACATCTCAACATCAAGAAAACAAAAATCTTCACCACTGAGCCAATAGGAAGCATTAGGATAGATGGAGAAAATACTGAAATTGTCACTGATCTCATCTTACTTGGATTCACAATCAACACTGTTAGTACAAGTAGTCAGGAGATAGGAAACATAGAGTATTTGGAAAGTCTGCTGTCAGAGATCTTTCAAAAATCCTGAAGAACAATGATACCAGTTTAAAGACCAAGGTATGCCTAATTCAAGCCACAGTCTTTCCAATCACTTGCTATGCATCTGAGAGCTGGACAATGAATAAGGATGACAGGAGAAGAATTGATGCATTTGAATTGTAGTACTGGAGAAGAGCACGGAACATCCCATAGACTGCCAAAAGAACAAACAGATATGTCTTAGAGAAAGTACAAAAGGGTTCCTTGGAGGCATGGATGGTGAACTTCATCTCACGTATTTTGGGCTTGCTGTTAGGCTCTCCTTGGAAAGAGATGTCATGCTTGGAAAGTTGGAGGGTCAGCTTAGGAGAGGAAGACCCTCAACAAAATGGATTGATACAGTGTCTGAGTCAAAGGGCGTAAATGTGTCCAGAATGATAATGGCGCAGGATAGGACAGGATTTAGACCTGTGGGTGATATGGCTTCTGTGAGTTGTATTTGACTTGACAGTACCTAACAATAACAATAATGGGTTTCCTGGGGCCCAGAAATATGTAGTATATTTTAGAAAGATTTCCACTGTTGTTGTTTTTAGGACTCATAGTGATTCTGTGTACAATAGCCCAAAACCTTGCCCAGTACTCCACACACGCATAATCTCCTCTGTGTTCAAACCCATTGTTACCATCACTGTGTCAGTCCATCTTGTTAAGAGTCTTCCTCTTTTCTTGACCTGCCACCTTTCCCAGCCTGATGCCTTTCCAAGAACTGACCCTGCCTGACAATGTGCTCTAAAGTCCATGAAATGAAATCTCACCTTTGTTTCTAACGAGCAATCAGGCTACACGTCTTCCAAATTAGATTGATTTATTCTCTTGGCAGTCCATGGTGTGCTTTCGATACTCTTCATTTCTTTACCAATACCAGAATTTAAAGGCATCAGTTTTTCTTTGGCCTTCCTTAGTCATTGCCCAACTTTGACATGCATTTGAAACAGCTTAACATATTATGGCTTGGGTCAGATGCTACTTAGTCTTTCAACTGACGATCTTGCTTTTAAGAAATAAAACTAAAGAAACACATAACTGTAAATTATGGCAATATATTATAAAACATATATTTCAGTATAATTTCCATTAGAAAAGAACAAAACCTTAAAAGTCTAGTGCTTAGAATAATAATGCTTATTTTAATTTATTCCTGCAGAATATAGTCAGAATACTTTATTCCACACTGAACTGGGTAATGAGTCATAGCCTTAGCATAGATGAGCATGCAGTATTGACTAAGGCAATATATAACAAAAGTAACATTAAACAAGCTTGCTGCTGATATCGCCTAGCATATATTATGTGAGATAAATGTTATCTTCCTCAGTTTGTTTTGAACTACACATACTGATCTGTTTCTTGCTGATAGCAACTGATACCTTTGCTATGTGTTTAAGATGCTCCCTGAAGAATGCAAGGAGCATGGAATTTTGTTCTCTTTTTCAATGAAGGGGAAGCTGCAGTCAGGAGTACTTTCTATACTATCAAGGCTTTGTCCAATGAGCTATGTGGTACATTAAAAAGAACCAGCTTCATCCTCTGTTAACATTTGGGCAACCCATTTAAACTTGAGAGCATCAGTTTCTTCATTTATAAAATGAAGATAGCTGTTCAGAGATTTGTTGCTGTTGTTGTTGTTATGTGCTGTCGAGTTGCTTGCCACTCATAGCAACCCTATATACAACAGCCCTAAACTCTGCTCTGTCCTGTGCCCATCGCACTGTCTCCGACACACCCATCATGATTACCCCAGTCACTGAATCAATCCACCTCAGAGAGGGCCTTCCCCTCCTGCGCTGTCCCTTTACCCTACCAAGCATGATGTCCCTCTCCGAGGACCGGTCCCTCCTTACAACATGTCCAAAGTATGTTAGACGAAGCCTCAGAATCCTTGCCTCCAAGGAGTGGCCCAGTTTAACCCTCTCCAGGATGAATCTGTTTGTTTTCCCAGCAGTCCATGGTATCCTCAACAATCTTTTCCATCACCACAGGTCAAAGGCATCAATTCTCTTTCTATCCTCCCTAGTCATTGTCCAGCTCTCTGATGCATAATAAGTGATTGCAAAGACCATGGCCTGTATCAGATGCACCTTAGTCTCCAGGGAGACACCATTGCTCTTCAGCATTTTGGAGAGGTCCCTAACAGCAGACTTTCCCATCGCCAATATGTCTTTTAATTTCCTGGCTGCTGGTGCCAAGAGTGTTGACTGTTGAGCGAAGCAAACTAAAGGTGTGAACAATCTCAATCTCTTCACCATCCATCCTGATCCTGCCAATTGGCCCAGTGGTGAGTATCTTTGTCTTCTTGACATTGAGCCTCAATCCATATTGAAGGCTGCAGTCCCTGACCCTCAGCAGCAAGCGCTTCAGGTCCTCTTCAGTTTCAGCAAGCAGGGTTTTGTCATCTGCATAACACAGATTGTTGATAGATCTTCCACCAATCTTGACCCCACATTTCTCCTCATATAGCCCAGCCTCCTGGATAATCTGTCCTGTATAAAGGTTGAAAAGGTATGGAGACAGGACACATCCCTGGTGGGAAGATGTTAATAGAATGTAAAATAAATGGTGACTCTTGTCTTCTCGAAGGAACCCTGGGAATGCAATGGTCAGGTGGTCAGCTGCTATCTGGGAAGTAGATAGATAGTACTAGGAAATCTGCTTCTGCAGAGATGACAGCAGATAATGCTCTATGTTCCAGTTCTATTCTGAAACACACAGGGTTGCTATGAGTGAGAAATGACTCAATATTATTCAACAATAAGAATTATCATCTCTAGAAAGAATAACTACAAGGATAGTCTCTATTCAACTCAGACCATACTGTCTCTGTTCCTGGTAGAGGTCAAATCTTTCAACAAACATGACAATGATGAAAGTTTCTGCATCATATAATGACTAACAAACACTGATTATGTTCCATTACATCAAGTGACATTTCCTATAACAAGAGCTCTGGTGGCCTAGTCAGTTTGAATCCACCAGCTAATCCAGAGGAGAAAGATAGGCAATTTCTTTCCATCTGATTTCAAGCCTCTGAAAACCTGCTTGAAGAGTCAGCTATGAGTTGGTTCTGACATGACACCTCTTAACAACAGTATAACATAACAAGAGCATTTGAACTTGCCATTAGAGTTTTTTGTACAGTTTATGTCTTCGAGTTTGATTCTACATACATAGTTTTGCTTCTGGTACATTGTTTTGTGTCTCATACACCCAAATAGATTTGTAATAAAGCTCAGAGTTGCTGATTTAGGTTGTTTTGAAGCCCTAGACAATTGCAAAACCATACAGATCGTCTCTTGCACTGCTCTTACAACTGTTTGTTACTATCATTTCCTAGTTGCTTGTGCACCTGGAAAAGTGACAATTCAAGAAGACTCCCCTGGTCACCTGTCTGTGGCATGGCCCAACGTCAAGCTGGGCGATTACTATGTGGCCTTTGTGAAGAGCGATGATGGCTTGGAAGTGCACTGTAACACGTCCCTCACCCAGTGCAACTTCCTATCTGAGTGTGGCTTCACTTACTTTATTAGTGTTTTTGCCTATAACAAGGCAGGACAGAGTCCTCTGGGTGATGTGTTCAATTATACTACAGGTAAGTTGCACTTGCTAAGGATAGGGCACAGTTCCGACCTGTTGTACATACAGTTGCTGTAAGTTGTAGTCAACTTGATGGCACAGAATAATAACCACAAAGGAATTCTAAGTTCACTAAATTCTACCACAGAATGGATCACCTATTGGACTCATTGACTTACATATACAACCTGGTAGTCCTTCTAGGTCAAGAATAGAAAATGAATTCATTTCTTTTCTCATGTTCTTTCTGAGGTAGGAAGATTAGGCAAATATGCATAGCTTATAAATGCAAAGAGAGGGAATATATAGTTGTTCATACTTGCTCTGAACAATAGAACCCTTCACAGAGAAAGCTGAGCTCAGCCCTCTCCTAGCTGCTGAAGAGACCACAGTGACAAAGATGCAGGGATGAAGAGACTGTGTGGTGTGGAGGGCTTTGGAATAAGATGCCTGCCTTGACATCCTTAATTGCCCACGGACTCATTTGTAATTGAGCCGAGGATGCTCACCTTGCTCGTAATCTCTGATTTCTTCCTCTATAAAACGGGTCAAATAATAATGCAGATATGACTTTGAAAATGTTATTGTAAGAAAAAGTAAAGCACCATATAGCTCTTTTCTTTGCTATTCATATTTTCCTCCTGCACTGGACTTCAGTGTTTCACAAGGCAGGCACTATGTTTGACTTAACTTTTCATCTCCACTATTACCATAATGTGACTGGTATATGCAAATTGATGGAGTGAATGATTTGACATAAATTTTATTTCTAAATAAGAGCAGCCTTCAATGTGGATCGCCGCTCAACACCAAGAAAACAAAGTTTCTCACCACTAGGCCAATTGGCAGCACCGTAATAGTTGAGAAAGAGATTGAGATTGTTAACAATTTTAGCTGGCGGTCACGCCGCGGTAAGCTTCGCCGTGTCCGCCTCGCCGGTGAAGCGCCAGAGGATGGAGTCCCGTGCAGTCCAACACTCTTCTCTAGCACCACAACTCACAAACATTGATTCTTCTTCTGTCATTTTTAGTCATTGTCCAACTCTCTGATGCATAGCAAGTAGTTACGAAGACTATGGCCTGGTTCAGGCACATCTTAGTCACTAGATTGACATTGTTGCTGTTCAGCACTCTGGAGAGATCTCTGACAGCAGATTTTCCCAATGCAATTTATTTTTTTTATTAATTTTTTATTTTTTTTACAGAGGTTTTGGATTTCCATTCATTCATTGCCGCAATTTTCTCCCTTCCCACCCCTCCCCACCAGCTCGCTTCCCCCTCCGAAGAGAAAAAAAAAAAAGAAAAAAAATTCCTTCATTAGTATACAATTCCCACATCCCCTCCCCCCCACCTCCCAGCTCGAGTACTCTTCTCTATGCAACCTTAATTCTGGATTCCTGTGCTAACCATAATACTCAATCATATATCACTTCTAATCTGTTCTTTCCCTCATCTGTTTCAATACAATATACATAATTTATCCCGTTTTTTCTGTCATACCCCCACCCTGATGTCAGACCCATTCTACAACAGTGGCACCATGCAGTATTTGTCCCTTTGTGACGGAGATATTTCACTCAGCATAATGTCCTCCAGGGTCACCCACTTTGAATAATATTGCATGAGTTCCTTGTTTTTCAATCCTATGTAGTATTCCATTGTGTGGATATACCACAGCTTCTCTATCTATTCGTTTGTTGATGGGCCCTTAGGCTGCTTCCAACTCTTTGCTATTGTAAACAAAGCTGCAGTAAACATGGGTGTGCATATATCTGCTTGGATGGCAGACATGGTCTCTCTGGGGTATATTCCCAGTAATGGGATTGCTGGGTCAAATGGTATCTCTGTTTGCAATTTTTTGAGAAAGTGCCACACCGCCTTCCACAATGGTTGCACCATCTTACATTCCCACCAACAGTGAATAAGAGTTCAGTTTCTCCACATCCTCGCCAGCATTTGTTGCTTGCTGTTCTATTTTGCTATTCTGACTGGGGTGAGATGATATCTCATAGTTGTTTTGATGCAATTTATTTTTTAATTTCCTCTCTATTGGTGCCAAGAGAGTTGATTATGAAACCAAGCAAGCTAAAATTTGTTTGTTTTTGTTTTTAAAGTGGCAATTTTAAAGCACTGGTCAAAATTTCACATAAAAATCAGAAGTCATTAATTCACTCTGCTCTGCCAAGAGAACAAACATGTCTGTCTTGGAGAGGGTGAAATCAGGTTGTGCCTTGAAGGCTAGGATTTTGAAGCTTGGTCTCATATACTTTGGGCATGTTGCCAGGAGAGACCAGTCTTCCAAGAAGGACAACATGCTTGGAAGGATGGAGGGACAATACAAGATAGGAAGACCCCAGATGAGACGGATTGACACAGTAACTGGGGTAATGGAGGTATGTGTTTTGGAGACAGTGAGACTGGCTCAGGATACAGCAGTCGTTCAGGAGAGCTATCATATACAGGGTTGCTATAAGTCACAGGCAGCTCAAGAGCACATAACAGCAATGATAAGACGTTGTACTGGCAATCCTAAGGCACGAAGCTAATATCCACCAGCTGTTCCACTGGGAAATCGCCTCCCATATGATTTACAACTTCTGAAAACCTGGAAGATCAACTATGAGTTGATTTCAGCTTGATGGTACATAACAACAACATCATCAGATAATCATGCAAATGACAATATTAATTAACTGGGTTGCAACAAAGTTTACCAGGTTGGGGGATCCATAAAATTGATGTTGTTGGAATTGGGATTAAGAAACTATCAACATGGTCTCTAGAACACAGGAGACAGGAAAGGAGAGAAAATGAAGGGAAACAAGAACCACAGAGAGATAGTACGATGAGTGATGATACAGTAGGGAGATTGTAATCAATGTCTTAAAGCAAAATGTGTATGAATGGTTAAATGGAATAGCAATTGGCTTTTGTAAACTTTCATTAAATCACAGCAGAAAGGTTAAAAAAAACAAAGAAAAGTTAAGAATATAGGGGAGCCTGCTAGAGGGAGTGGCTTTGAACTGTAATTATTAAGGAAAAGGAAAATTTGGATGAGATAAGAATATTCTCTATGTACATTTATGATTATTGCTAAGAAAAGAGGGCATGAATAATGTACACTGCATTGAAAGAGATGAGGGAAGGAGTTGCTTAAAAGGAATATATGTTGTTGTTAAGTGCCATCAAGTTGCAGGCGACTCATAGCGACCCTATGAAGGAGAGTCCTCAACGCTTGGGTGTCTTTCATCCTCTCTCCAGGTTCAAAGGGTTTCTGGGGGCAAGCTATTACAGAAGTGGATCAGGAATATATGATTAGGCATTATTTGCATGATAACAATTCAGAATAAGAACTGCATAGCAAAGTGGACTTGGGGGACGGGGAGGAAACTGCAACAATGAAAGAATTTTTTCAAAGAGAAAAGTAAACATAGTGGGTAGGCAGGGAGGAAAATGTGCAACAATAAATGAATTAAAATCCAACTTCTCTATAAACTTTGATTAAAATATCAATTAAAATTAAAAACATTTAAAAAAATCAACGTTTGAAACCCTATGACATGTAGTTCTGACAGCCTTGAGCCAGATATGACAAAACTGAAACTTTTTTCCTCTTATGAACTGGCAGATAATGGTGATATGATGGTACATAATAAAAGTACTGTGATTAGTAAAAGAAAAAAAAATTCTAAAGAAACCCCAAGCTAAATCAAACATTTATCAGAACTTGTCTTTTGGTCTTTATTAGCTCTTATCCAAAAATCTTTGAGTTTAAGTGTGCATTCTTCCTCTCCTTTGCTTTGCAGAGGCTGAGAGGATCTGAGGAGTTAGGCTAAGTATCATTTTATCAGCAAAGCATTCCAGAGGACTCGGTGGTCTTTGAGGAATAGAGGATGAGAGAACATATGGGGTGGGAATTGAGGAGTCTGATATAGCAGGGAGGGGGAGGTAGAGAGGCTAATGATACAGGCTGGATGCAGTGTGGAATGACCTTAAATGTCGTGCTGAAGACTTCTGCTCTACACAGCACGTATTAGGCCAAGATCAAAGCCGGACTGACTGGCAGGAGGTCATTGCAGTAGTTCAGGAGGGCAGTGACAGAGGCTGTGGGCACAGGGAGGTCAAGATCTCGTGCCCCTCCCCCCCTTGTAGTAGTGCTCTGTATTGACTTCCATTCTCTCTGCTCTTGCTTTCAGCTCCCTGTTGTCCCAGTGACATTAGCCCCGTGTTCGTGTCAGGTGACAGAGTAGAGCTTGTCTGGTCTCCTGCTCGTGGTGCTGAACTCTACGAGACTAAGGCTGTACACGGGTTCCACGTGGTGGAGTGCAATGACACCACCCCTGCTTGTACTCTTTCAGCTCTAGAATGTGATACCAAGTATAACATCACAGTGTATTCCTTCAGCGAAGTCAGGGGTAGCAATACGTCATGTATGTCACGATTTATCACCACAGGTATGGTCCAACTGGGACTTTGTTTACTCATGTCTGGATGATTCATCTCACCTGTGCCCCTCAGGCGACACCCCCCCCCCAGGTGGTACAAATAGTTAATGTGTTCAGCTGCTCATTGAAAAGTTGAAGGCTGAAGGTCTCTTAGAGGTGCCTCCTAAGAAAGGCACTGTGATTTACTTCTGAAAAATCAGCCACTTGAACGCCCATGACATGCTGTTCTATGCTGGAACACAGGGGCTGCCGAGAGTTGGAGACTCAAGGGCATCTGGGTTTATGTCCTTCAGCATGGACATTCAGTAAGACCCATGAACAAGTCCAATCCTGTTAACTACTCTTCATGGGTACCATTAGATGCCTGTTGAATTAAAGAGAGACTAATGAGAACAGGAGAGCGGAAAGCAAACGCAAACACGTCAGAGACCACACAGAGCAGATTTCATGATCACATTAGCTATTGAGTTCCTCCTGTCTTTATGAAGCTAGTTCTGTAGCTACACCATGAAGATTATAATTTTAAATTTTTCTTTTATTAATGTTTGGTTTTAAAGTTAAAAATGCTCTTAAACATTTTCCAGCTGCTCCACTTGCATGCAATACCCTACGTCAGTGCCAACTCTTTTCCACACAGAAGTTGTGTGAATTTGTCTTTTAAATGTGGCCTGGTTGAAGTTCGTAACAGCCTGATTTGGAAGGGGGGTGTTGCAAAGTCAGTTTTAGACCAAATGATGCTTGCAACGTTTTTGACTCATGCTGTTTCAATTAACAACCTCCATTCTCTTAGCTCCCTGCAGTCCTGAAATAAAAAATGTTTCAAAGGACGCAGTCTCCTTGATTAATGTGCGCTGGCGATCCACTAATGATGACGCCACTTACACGGTGACTGCCCGGGGAGAGACAGGGCTGTATCAGTGCAGCAGCACCGGGGACTCCTGCGCCCTGGAGGGCCTGCCCTGTGGCTCGGGGTTCTCCATCACCGCAGTGGCCGAAACACTGGCAGGACGGAGCCTGCCGAGCTACAGTGTGCCCTTGGAAACCGGTACGTAGCAACCACCAGCCTTGACACTGGCTTCAGTAGGGTCCTTAGGTTGTGGTGTGGGGTTGGTTTTGTGTTGTTGTTTTTTTTAACTGTTTTGGTATTTTTGTTGTTTTTAAAATTTTATTTTATATTCGTTTGCTTGCAAAAGTTATATATATTGTGTTTCCACACTATTCCTCATTCACACTGTGTTTCGTACAAGGAATTGTTTTAAGACATGACTTTTCTTCCTGCATCTGCCCTAAATGTGGTAGAAGTGCATTATACCACATCATTGAGAATCCTAGTCTTAGAAAACGTTCAACATCTGGACACAGGTTACAGAAAATGATAATCAGGGACGCTAATGTATTCAAAACCACTGGCATCAAAGGAGAAAGGCAGTGACTTTGCAGAACATTTCCTTGCATTCCTATTCCCCGCACAGCACAGCGAACAAGTAACCAAATGAACGGACGTGTTGCTGATTTCTTTGACTCAGCTCTTCTAGATCTTTCTCTGAAAGTGCTTTCTGAGCTTTACTTTCCTTATCAGTGCAAAAATAATAGCCTCACCGGGTGATCATATTAAATTATCCAGTGTTCTCAAGCTCTTAGCATAGCGTCTGATGCATTGTGACAGCTCAGTAAAAGAAAGCTCTTGCTTTAGTGTCTGTAGTTTTGCATGGGAATGTAATTTAGCAAATCCCTTAAAGCCTTTGGACGTCAAGTCCCTTTATAAACAACAGAGATGATAGAAAGAAGGCACTTTAACCTTTGAAAATGGAAAGACCTAAAAAACCAGTCAAGTAACAATGTCAAACACCAATGATGATTCCAGGTAATCAATAACCTGTGCAATTGATCTCTGAAAAATTGAGACTTGATCAGTATCAGAGATGGTTATGAGAGATCAAATTTTAGTCATTCATGGTTTATTATGAAATGCATGAAAAAGGCAAAATATCTTTTATTGTAAATGCCAGGAAGAAGTAGACGTGAACATAACCATTGCTTGAACAGTCCCAGCTGGGACTAATTAAGTTGGGGTCTAGCAAAGAACTTCTTTTGAAGTCTGAAGGAAAAAATTGGGTGAGATCTCACATTACCCAAAAGGCCTGTTTGTGCATTGCATTCTTGGGAAAATCACACATAATATACAGTTGGTATTACATGATGTGTGAGAGAAAAAAATCATGAAGGAAATTTTGATCAAGAGTTGAGGTTTCAAAGAATCAGGCTACTGAATGAATCACAAGCAGAATAGCATTTTTGGTAGCTTCCCCTATGCCCACCCCCAAACAGCTCTCACCGTGAGAAAAGTTCTGACACTTTCTCCTTTGCCTTATTTAAGTGCCATGCTGTCCAGTCGGCCTGACATTAACGCAAGTCACTCAGTCGGTCATCAATGTTAGCTGGACTATCGGGACTGGGGCCCAAACCTACGTCGTGGTGCTGGAGTCCCACGCTGGACAGTCAAAGTGTCACACGCATGAAACCCACTGCCTCCTGGGATGCATCACGTGTGGCATCAACTACACGGTGACATTGAAAGCAATTAGCGCCACCGGACTGACTGCGGAGTGTTCCTTCCGAAGTTATTCCTCTAGTAAGTGAATTCTAAGACTGGCTCTGTACCAGTCGCCACTAAGTGGATTCTGGCTCATAGTATGCTTGTGTGTCAGCACAGAACTGTTCCTTGAAGGGTTTTCGGTGGTTGGTATTTTAGGAAGTAGATTGCAGGGCTTCCTCCCAAGAGAACTAGATAGCAGTGGATTTGAACTAAATAGCAGCCAAGCACATGAACCATTTGCAGTAAACGAAAAAGGGTGCTAATCAGCCAGGACATACGAAGTGTGGTGTGAAAAAGTTTGGTCACTTGCTGGTGGTACAAGGAACTTCTCCCAAGATGTGATGCTCCCAAGCTCAGCAAAATTGGTCTTTTCAATTCTACTTGAGTATGATTCATTATAAGGAGCTCTGGGGGCAGAGTGCATCATATGTTGTACTGTGAACGGAAAAGTCTTCAATTTTAACTGACGAGCTGCTTCACAGAAGATGAGCAATCTCCCCTCATAGAGACTTAGAGTCTCAGAACCCCAGGTGAGGGTCACCCTGAGCCAGAATGACTCAGCAGCTGTGGATTGGTTTGGTTTGGATAATTGATTATATGTGTACTTTGGTGGTACAAAGGGTCCAGCAAGTACTGGCCTTCTCTCTGAAAGTTTGGAGAGTCACGTCGGCTTTCCAGGAAGGCCTGGGAATGTGAAAGCCTCAGCCTTTGAACTCTAAGGAGCACAGTCCTCTCTGGCATACATGGAGTTGCCATGACTCAGAACTGACTCCCACATAACAGGTAGGGTTTCCTCCCCTGCTGTTGTTTATAAATTAAAGTTACATTTAATCCTGCCAAAATGACACAGAACTAGATTGTTACAAATGACCTTGGCAATGCTGGGGTTTTTTTGCATTTGAGTCATGTACACTCAGAGTGTGGGCCTGCTGGGTGTGGCCTTTCCGACTCACCATTGTTCTGCATTAAAAAGTCATGAATTTTGATCAGGTGGACCATCACCAGAAAGAATTTGGGTACGTCTCCAAATGTTGTTCTAATTCATGGTATTACTGATAATATTGTTGTTGCTATGTGCCATCAAATCAGAACCGACTCATAGCTGAACCTCCAGCAAGTTTTCAGAGGCTATAAATCACATGGAAGCAGCTAGCTCATCTTTCAGCCTCAGAGCAGCTGGTGCATTCGAACTATATACCTTTGGGTTGGCAGCACAACTCCTCACCCACTAGGCCACCAGAGCGCCTTCTTATTTGGAATAAGTTACTCATGTTTCTTTATGAGGTTCCTGAGTGGTTCAAACAGTTAAAACATTTAGTATTTGCTGACTGAAGGGTTGGAGATTTGAGTCTTCTGAGAAACACCTCAGAAGAAAAGCCTGGCAGTATTCTAAATATTCGTCTGACAATGACCCTGTGGATAACAGTCCTACACTAATACAGATAGGGTGAGCAAAAGTTGGAGTCAATCACATGGCAAGGGTGGTATTGTTTCCTTGCAGTAGTAAAGGAGTTTGTTTTTATTTTTCAGGTGCCTGTTGCCCTTTGGGGGTGAAATTATATAGGCTGGGCCCTAATGGCATCCGGATCTACTGGCAAGCCTCCAGGGGGGCTGCCAACTACAGCACTGACCTCTATGGCTCCAAAGGCATCTTCACCTGCACCCCCAACTCCAGCCCCAACTTCTGCGACGTCACCGAGATTCCCTGTGGAGATGTGTATACTGTGATGGTCTCCCCAGTCACTGAGACAGGACTGAAGCTTACATTCTGTCCAAAAAAAATATATTCAGGTAGAGCAAATTACCACCTTTTCTTGAAAACCAACTCCGAACTAGATCTGTGAATTAAGTGTGACCCAGAACAATCACCTTCCTTGCTCTGCCAGAATGGGGAAAAGGGTGTGAAATTTCCAGGAGGCTTCTGCCTTCCAGGGCCCTCCACCTTCCTTGGAAATGTGCTGCTTTGTTATTTGGTTTAGGGGTACTCCTCCCGTTTTTGTCCTTCTCTTCCCCTTCAGAGAAAAGGCCAGATGCTTGCTGCTTAAATAGTAAACCTAATTAAAATTGTTGTCTGCTTGGAAATTTGGGGGTAGGTTTGGAGCAGCATCTTAAAGATAATAACAGGCGGCTGGGATGCAGGAAATGAAAAGACTGGAGCCTTTATTTTCACAGAATTATGACTGAAGAAGAGTTGGAGGATCAGGAGGGGAAAATGACAGTGTAAGTCATAAGCTAGGTTTGGAAATGTGAGTGGGCAGACAGTCTGTGATCACAAAGCATTGCTGTCAGCACCTGACATCTCCCTAAAGCTGTCAGAATCGTGTGAGCAAGTCTCCTGCTTCACCCCAGCCCCTCTGCCGCCTTTCCTGGGCACTGCCATGTGGTTTTCATATACATCTAAAGCTTGGAACTTTGCAGACTCACACAGGAAGAGGAATAAACATTGTCTCACAAACCTTTACGGATAGGCAAGATCTAAAAACTCATTTTTTGGTGACATAGAGGTTCAAGATGGCTCCTGCACTGGAACCAGGACAGTTCTGCCTGAGGGATTGTCCTCATGCTCTGTCATGCTCTGATTCCTTTGATTTGTTTTTGTCTTTCACTAATTTTTACCCCCGGACAAGCTGACCCAAAGCATGAGAAGGAACAGGAAGAGGTTCTTGGATGGAGAGATGAGCTCTTAGAGAAGCTTAAGGATTTTGAAGTGTTAAAGTAACACAATTGGATCACTGTCCCGGAATAGTAACTGTGGTAATAGAATGGAGGCTGGAGTGGAGGAAGGAAAGAAGGTTTGGCTTCTTAGTCTAGGGGCAAGATGGTGAGGACTTGCACATATTTTATAATTTATCAAGTGCTTGGGATATTATAGCTAATGTTAGATGTATCTTGGCAGAAAGCAGAGAATACCAGAAGAATGTCTATCTGTGCTTCATTGACTATGCAAAGGCTTTTGACTGTGTGGAT